CGTACACTTAGCATCGCAATAGATAAACACTCAGTCAGAGCTCAGAGTGAAGGGGAGCTGAGGGGACGCTGATCGGTGAGCGAGACCCAGGCAGCTCAGAAATAATTTTCAGAGTAGCTAAGCACCCAGAGTGGCTTTTCTTTATTTCCTTGACCATTTTAAATTCATGTCAGTAAAGCCAGGCTCTTGGTGGACCCCTCTGAGAAACCTTCCTCATTTGCCAGGCCATTGTTGGAAGAGACCTTAATTTTAATTCTTTTCTCTCCTGGGGGTCCCTCCCTGTCTCTCTCCTACCCAGATGTTTTAGCATCTGTTAATCCCAGTTGGAAACCTTGGCAGATAAAAGTCGTGTTCTGTGTAGATTGCTTCCAGAACAAATACAGGGTGGTAGATAATTTAGCATTAGGTTTCAGGAGGGCTTAGGGTGGGGGCTGCCAAGAACAGCACCTCTTCCTCATAAGACTCTAGTAAAAGCAAAAGCAAAGTAATTCCCAACTCAGATGGGTTGCATGTAGATCAGGTTCATGCCCAGAACTGCAGCTGCCTGCGTTTAGGTGATATTAGAAGCCACCATGACAGGAAAGTAGTTTTATGCATAGCGGCTTAGTGAACACTTTGAGAACTAGTTTAGTGAAGCTATCAGGTTGAAGAATACCAAGTCACAAAGTTTTAATGAAACTAAGTGTGGATCAAGGCATCCTAAAGAGCCTCTAGGACGACTTAAAAGATCTTCGGGTGGAAATTAGAATGGATCTTTGGGATTTATTTGGCATCGCCTGTCTATTTTGACCTTTTTATCTCCTCCGTTTCATTTGAAGACTCCCTGAAAGTGTGTTTTGTTTAGCTAAGACTGGGAGAGGACAGCTATTGGGGCTGTTAAACGGATGCTGCCACTGAAGTTTAGCTGCATTAATTGACTGATAAGGAGCTGGGCATCAAATGGCAGAGAGAAAGGCCATCGGAGATTTTCTTGCTTTATTTCTCCCCTGTACCTCATTTACATCTTAAACCATACTGGTGATCCAGATTTGAATGAAGCCACAGCTTAAACAGTGATTAGATCTCAATAGCTTGGATTTTCTATGAAATTGCTGCATTTTTACTGGGTGTATTTAGAAATACTGGTGAAAACTGACACCTTGGTTAACTTTATCATTGCAAAGAAAGCATCAGGTGGATAAAGAACCCCAGCTAAAATGGGGGTATTAGTCGCTAGGCCTTTGACTCATACAGTGCCAGGGGTTAAAGTGAGACAAAAGCCAAGCTCAGGACCACTTTGGAAGGTAAAAACGCAGATACAGTCAGCCCAGCACCTTCCTGAAAACTCCCTGTTCCCCCAAATGTCAACTGAAACAGTCAGTGATCCCATAACCTGAAGAAAACTGAGGAAGCTAAAAGGAAAATATAATGCAACATGGAGCTTCTTTTGTTCGGGAGTTGTTCTCTTTTTTTAATCATGAAGCAATATTTTTAACTCTAAGGTTAACCTGCTAATCCTTAAGCTGGTGATATGACAGTGTCAAATGTGATGGGATTTTGTGATTCTCATTATTGTTATGTAGTGTTCTTTCCCTGGTAGTCCATATTAATATTTATAAATGCCCTTTTTATAGAACCAAGGAGACCAAAACCCATTATTAAATTTTTTAAATGGACAAACCTTACATCCAATATTGTTGATTACAATTTAGAACAAAAAGGATTTGGGTGGTAATCCACCTCTTGTTTTGAGTTGTTGTTGATTTGTATGGACAACGGAGCTCCTGACATTGTTTTGTTTTGTTTTTTCTAAACTACAGAGTAGCATCCAAGTGACAGAGAATAACAGAACATTGATTGTATTCCACCAGGAGGAGGTAAAGGACACCATGAATGGGTTAGAGGATGGAGTAGAGAAAAGGTGTCATTGAACTTACGAAGTCACCCACCAAGGGCCAAAGCAAAATGAAAGAATCGATCAAAATTTTAAAAATAGGGAGACTGTTCATTCAGTTGTTTTCAAGTGCCTCATTTTATTTGACAAGTGGCCTCTGATGGGTTTGGTGGGCATCCATGTGTGTGAAGAGGAAGTCTCTGTAATGAAGGCAGGCAAATCAATCCTTCCGAACCCTGATCACAGAGGGGAGTCAAAATGAACGACTAATCTGCCCACTTCACTCTCCTTTCAGCACTACACAATGCAATCAGGCTTCCTTCAAAGTCCAAAAGGAAAGGAAAAAGAAAATGTCTCTCTGCCCAGCTCAGGGATGTTCTATCTCTGGGTCTCCAAGGATAGTTTTCAGCCCAAGAGAAGATTATTTGTGGAAGGTGGAAACCTTTGGGCTGACTGGCCCTACCTGGAGTCTCTGAATGATGTACACAGTTAAGTGTCTGACTGTTAGCCTGAAAGAATGGTGGTTCAAACCCAAGAGGAGCCTTGGAAGAAAGGCTTGGGAATCTGTTCTCAAAAAGTCACAGCCTTGGAGACCCTCTGGAATACAGTTCTACTCTGTAACATGTGTCAGAATCGACTTCATGGCAATTGGTAGGGTTTGGGGGGCGGAGGTTCTAACTAACACTCTCCATGGTCTGACCGCTCACTGCTGCCCGTGAATCACTTAAGTAACTTGGCGTTGTTAACAGGAGTGTGTAGGAATGATTGACTTTGTGTTGGCAGAGTGACTGGGGTGGCCTGGCTTTTTCAGGAAAAACAGCCAAGGGCAGAGTCTAATGCTTCCCACTCACGAGCCAAGAACCTGGAGCAGTTGTACCAAATGATTAGAAGATTCTCACCACCTATCCTTTCGGAAAGATTAATAGCAGGAAGGTTTTTTAATAGAGGATATTTATAACCTTCTTTATAAATGTCACTTCTCCCTAACTCAATATCCAGAGACTGGGCTTCAGAGTCATTGTGAATCCTGGTTCTTTGCCTTCAAACTTTGTGATCCTCTTCAAACCAAGTTTTTTGTTTGTTTGTTTTTTTACTAGATTTCTTTGATTATAAAAATGGAGAAAATGGCTTTGAACCTTACACTATTGTGGTGAGAAGTGAATGAGATAACTGTATCTTGCATGGAGCCTGGCAAAAAGTCACCCATCCAAGAAATGATAAAACCTAAAACTCCAAAGCACATTGATTTTGAGTCAATTCCAACCCATGCTGACCCCATGGGCTATGGAGCAGAACTAATCCACAATGCTGGGTGGTACAAACAGCTAACTGCAAAAAACTCAACAACCCAGTACCAGTGAGCTGATTCTTACTCATAGTGACCCTATAGAACAAAGGAGAATGGCCCTGTAGGATTTCTAAGGTGGAGAATCATTACAGAAGCAGACTGTTGCATCTTTCTCCTGCAGAAAAACTGGTGGGCCAGAACCATGGACCTTTGAGTTAGTAGCCAAAGACAAGCACTGTACCACCACGGTTAAAAATAGTTAAGCATTTGACTATTCGCCAAAGCTTGGCTGTTTGAGCCCACCCAGAGGCACCTTGGCAGATAGTCCTGCCTATCTGCTTCTGGAAAGTCACAGCCTGGAAATTATGACTCTGGAAAACTTTAAACAAACCCTCCCTTGATTTTTGGAGCCTTCTCTCTATTTTCTCATCTCCTGGTTTGAGAATCGCAGCCTATATGCCTGTGGGGTTTTGTAGTTTGATGTTTGCACCTGGCTTGAGAAACCAAGTAGAGTTTCTGGGGCCACAGGTTGTATGAGGAATTCCAGGCTATGCTTGTCTTTCTGGGAGAAAGCACTTAGACGTTTTTACTGTTAAACACATCTAAAGAATTTTCCAAGCCCCAAGAAGGAAGGAAGAGTCAGAATTGATGCCTACTGGTTCTGACAGTTCTTCTATTAGTGAGCATACTTCAGGTCACAGAGGTAGGATCGGACAACCCCGCTGAGGAGTATTGTATATTCAAAGCAGCAAGGACGTAACTCAATTCCAATGAAACCCAAGTTGGATGAAGCAATGAGAAGGCTATTCATTATGACCAATCTTTATAGAATCTGGCCTCGCCTTCTGGGGAAATGTGTCTTAGGTTTCAAGCATGTGGAATGGCCTGCTTTGGCAATGTGGCCTTAGCTCAGAAAATATGATAAGGATGCAGCCGTCTCAGATAGCTCAAAAACTTGTCAACCTAGCCCTCCTTAAAGCCCCTGGTGTCCTCATTCATAGCTGTTGAATTTCTTCACTTCAGCTCCTTTTAGAGAGACTCCACTTGAAAAAAGCTGAGACTTTTACCTTGGGACTTTTCTCTTCCTTTTCCACAGGGGATCCCCTTAGGTTCATTTCCATGTTTTCCTCAGGCAGTTGGTGACTAGAGTCATTTTGAAGGGGGCTCCTTTAATCTAAGACAATAGATACCTGGAGGTGGAATTTCAGTGCTGTGGTATGTATGACAGGTCAATAAGCTTCCTCGGAACCTCCATAGCTATCAAGGTACCAAACACACCCCAGGACTTTGTCACGCTAGAGTGTCATGGCCTATTTATTTGTCTTCCCACTATACTGAATTTAGGGACAGTATCTTTTCTTACTTGGTCCCTGGCACTAGTATAGTGTCTGGCATGCAGGATTAATGAATTAGTGACTGAGTGAGGGAATCTAAAAGGATCAGGGTCCCCCTTAGATCACATATCACAGTTGATATTTACCTAAACCTCACCTAGAAGCCAAACTTATATGAAAATTCTGTAACAGGTTAAATTTGATGGCGGCAAAAAAGCTCACTAAATACCATACATAGCTCCCCTTCTACACACACACACACACACACACACACACACAACACTTGTCATTGTGCATGCTCTTTCAGTGGCACTGCTCCACCTACCTCATTACTGAATCACTAGTCCTGGCTACTCAGTAGCTGCTCCCATCCTGGTTCCATTCTTCTGCCTTCCCTGGTGTGTCTTTAGATATAATTTAGATATGAATAGACTGTCCCTCAAAGATTCCACTGGCAAAAATGTAAAAGAATCTTATATCAAGAACACAAGGGATCTTGGGCATGATGGAGTGGGAGAAGAATCAGAGAAGTGCTCTGACCGCAGATGATCTTCGGAGGTAAAGGTATAGATATCCCTGCCCCCTTTTTCTGTTCTTTGGTCTCTCGCTGTCTGCACACCTCCACTCTGGTGACTAGACGGGGTGCCTGAGCTAGTGGACACCCTCCCATCCCTCAGAGGGTTCTACTTTGCATGTGCAGAAGATCTGCTCAGCAAAGCGTTTTGGGTCCAGAATTGCAGAAGTGAGAGGAGTCACTGACAACTGCTTAAAATGGAACAGTCTCCCAGAATGGTTCGAGCCGGCTAAGAAAACGGCATTAAAGTCATACTCATTTTTCCTACAGATTCTTTTTTTGCCTTTTCTTTTTATGCGATTATAGATTGCAGTACCAAATCTATTTTTTGTTTTAGTGGGATTTTTTCGCTGTTGTTTTGTGTTTTTTCTGGTCCCCCTTTCACCTTCAGGGAACTATTTCTCTTCCTACAGCACCCAAGAAGAGATGGCAATTGTGGTCATATAGCCAAACTGCAATCACACCTTGTAAAAATCCTACCATACAGGCAAGAACCAATACCAGCTGCCATATACCACATAGACAGTCAACACCTGCTATAGTTTCTCTGAGTTGAACAACAGAAAAGTGAAAAGGGAAGCCCATTTTCTGATCACATCTACCCTGAAGACAATCAGAAACATCAATAAAACATCAACATACATTCATTTAATTATTGAAAACCTAATTATCAGAGATGCCCAAGAAACAATTGACTATTTCTGTACATGTCCACAAACAGGGTAGAGTAAATAACACAAATGAGCTGGAATTAAACCTAGACTTCCCACTGGATGGAGGGAAGATCTTGGAATTGCCTGAGAATTCAGGAGATTGATACATAAGTGCATCCAAAGTCTCCAAAAGGGTTTGAGAAAAATAAGGAAGAAGTCAGAAAAGCACTGCAGGAAAAATCAAATAAGATACAGCTGGAAGACAAATCTACCAATACTGCTTAGATAGAAGAGCAAGCACAAAAAAGGATAAACAAATCTGAAGAAAGTCTAAGATATATGTTGGACAACATGAAGAGGAATAACTTAAGAATTACTGATATTCCAGAACAGAAAGAATCACATACGTCCACAGAGCAGATAGTCAAAGACCTTCTTGAAGAAAGTTTCCCTAACATCCTGAAAGACAAGATGCTCAACGAACCCCAGGAAGGACAGACACCCCCACCCCTCAAAAAAAAATCACCAAGACATAATAATCTAGCACTCCCAAATCAAAGACAAAGAGAGAATCCTGAAAGCAGCTAGGGAAAAGAAGTGTTACAACCAAAAGCAAACAAAGCAGATTAAGCTCTGATCTCTCAGCAGAAACAATGCAGGCAAGCAGGCAATGGGGAGACATATATAAAACCCTGAAAGAAATAAACTGCCAACCAACTACCCAGCAGAGCTGTCAATCAAATACAAAGGTGTAATAAAAATATTCCCAGATAAACAGAAGCTAAGGGATTTTGCCAAAACCAACCCTGTGCTTCAAAACAGCCTAAAGGGAGCTCTTGGACGGAGAACCAACAAAAACAGACAACAATCAGAGATTGACATATGGGGCAGCACCACCAGGAACTCAGTAGTCAGATGTAAGATTCCAGAATAGGACAAAACTGTAAGAATGAATTTGGAGGATCTGAATGGTCAGTTTATGATCAAAACAATTACAATGTGCAAGAAGGTAAAAACATGGAAACCGAGATCCAGGTGGTGAGGAAGTTAGGTAGACTGCAGGATAAAATATACTGTTCTGAATGGAGGAAAAAGTTAATAGAATATAGGGTAACCTCAAAGAAAATTAATACTTCATAACATACCAAGAAAACGAATATCCAAGAAGAACATGGAAACATTAAAACTATGAATAAATGGACAAGAAAGAACACAAAATACATTAACTCAGCTCGGGAAGGCATGCAGAACAAAGAAACCAGCAGCACCATAAAAAGCAAACTTAATGACAGCAATTAATCTATACCGATTGATAATTACACTGAATGTCAACAAATTAAATTCACCAGTTAAGAGACAGACAGTGGCAGAATGGACAAGAAAACAAGATCCTTCAATATGCTGTCTGCAAGAAACATATCTTAAGAACATACCTTACACACAACTTAAAAAATAGACTAAAGGTTAAAGGATGGAAAAAACAACAACTACAACAACAACAAAAAAGCTAATTGCAATAAAAAGAGAACAGGAGAGGCAATACTAATGTCTGATAAAATAAAATTTAAGGAAATAACCAGCATAATAGATAAAGATGGACATATCTCATGATTAAAGGGGCAATTGAACAAGATGGCATAACCATAATAAATATCTACGTTCCCAGTGAAAGAGCTCCAAAACATATAAAGTGAATTCTAATAGAGTTGAAGAAAGAGACAAATCTACAATAATAGTGGGAGATTTTAATATACCACTTTCGAAAAAAGATAGAACAACCAGAAAGTACCTCGACAAAGACACAAAGAAACTAAACAACACAATCAGCCAACTTGACCTCATAAATGTGTACAGAGTATTCAACCCAACAACAGCACAATACACATTCTTATCCAGTGCACAAGGTACATTCTCCAGAATACACCATGTGTTAGGCCACAAAACAAGCCTCCATACATTTATCAAAATACTTCTCAGACCCAATGCTATCAAATTAGAAATCAACAATAGGAAGACCAAGGAAATATAGTCAAATACATGGAAACTAAATAACACCCAGTTTAAAAGCTACTGGGTGGTAGAAAAAATAAAATGTGAATTCACAAAGTTCCTAAATCAAATGAGAATAAAAACATAACATACCAAAATATTTGGGACAAAGCAAAAGCAGTGCTGAGAGGATAATTTATTGCAGTAAATGCACACATTCAGAAAGAACCAAAATCAACACATTAACACAACATCTCCAACAACTAGAAACAGACCAGCAAAGTAAACCTATAGTCAGCAGCAGAAAAAAAAAAAAAAGCTTAGAGCAGAAATAAATGAGATATAAAACAGAAAAACTATAGAAAGAATCAACAGGACCAAGGAGCTGGTTTTTTGAAAGGATTAATAAAATTGACAAACCATTGCCAAACCTAACAAAAGAAAAGAGGAAAAAGACACAACACATATAAGAATCACCTAAGTGATGTCACAACAGAACTAATAGAAAGAAAAATGATAATAACAACATTTTATGAAGAGTTGTACTCCAACAAACTTAAAAATCTAGAGGACATGGATGCATTTTTAGAAAAGCAGGACCTACCTAAACTTACACAGAGTGATATAGAAAATGTGAACAGATCTGTAACAAAAGAAGAAATTGATCAAATCATCAGAAAATTCCCCAACCAAACAAAGTTCAGGTCCAGATGGCTTTACTGGTGAGTTTTACCAAATATTCAGGAACAGTTGTTACCAATTCTACTCAAATTATTCCAGAATACAAAAGAGAATGAAGATCTCCTAATACATTTTATGAAGCAAGCATAGCCCTCATACCAAAACCTAGGAAGGACATCACTAAGAAAAAAAATTATAGGCCAAGATCTCTCATGAACATTGATGTAAAAATTCACAACAATATCCTAACCAACAGAATTCAAAGAAATCAAAAAAATAATCATTGTGACCAAGTGTGATTCATATCATGCATGCAAGGATGGTTCAATATTAGAAAAACAATCAATGTAATCCACCATATAAATTTTTAAAAAAAGAAACATGATCAGACCAATTGATGCATAAAAGACATTTGATAAAATCCAACATCCATTCCTGATAAAAACACTTGATAAAGTAGGAATTCAAGGGAAATTCCTAAACATAATTACGACCATATAGACAAAGCCAACAGCTAACATCACTCTCAATGGAGAGAAACTGAAAGCCTTCTGTTTGTGAAGAGGAATCAGACAAGGATGTACTTTATCACCACTCCTCTTCAATACTGTGTTGGAAGTCTTAGTCAGAGCTATAAGGCATGGTGAAGGACTTTGCGCCTGATCAACAGAATGGCATTGCAACTATCCCAAATGACACTGAATGGGCTGGCTTGAGCTTCTGATCTCCAGGGAAAGCTTGGGTCTTTGTTACATTTGGAGACCCTCCCTCCCCTGAAATTCCAGGTTTCAGGAAAATCTCCATACCCCTGCCCAAATCTCCATACCACCCCACCCCACCCCCATTGTAAACTCACCAGAACTGTACCCAGACCACACGGCCTATAAATACCCTAGTCTGTAAGGGAACAGACGGGCTCTTGGTCTCCTTTGGTGACATACGAGTACCCCCTCTCAGGATTACTCTCAATAAACCTGACTGCTGTTGAAGCCAAAACTCTTTCTTTCCTTCTTTTTCCTACATTTTGGCGCCCAACGTGGGGCCCGGGAGAGTTAGCCGAAGCTCACCGGCAGAAGCTAGACTGGCGAATCCTTAGAAGTGAGACTAACTTTTCATTCTGAGACATCTCAGAGTTGTGAGCAAACCAAGTCCAATTGAGGAGACTTGGCCAGGGTTACTCTCCGGTAGCCTCTAAAGGGACTTGCAGCGTTTCACAACTTTGGTCGCCTGTCTGGGCACTTGTCTCCCTTTTCTCATTCCTAACTTCTTGGCTCCAGCAAAACACAGGACCACGTTCCAGACCAGCTCTGCAACCATCCACCACCGGCTGATTCCTCCCTAGTCGTTCCCACAGGGAAGGTAAGTTGGTCTCCGGAGGTTTTCTCTAAGGTACCTAGCCTCCTCCGGACCCGAGACATAAGGCCTCAGCAGGCCTCTCTTATATATGTCTCAGGGGCCCGCCATGTGAACAATACAGGGGATGCTCTGGTTGCTCTTTTGGCTCTCCCTTCTGTCTCCGGCCTCGATATTTCTCTCCTCTGGACGCCCTGTAGAGAAACATCGTGTACCCTGGCCACCGCTTCTTACCTCTCCCTTTAGTTTTGGGAACTCATATCTCAAAACAGAAAAGAGAGCCTCTTGGTCAATTTCAAAAAAATTTCATTTACAATCTGAAATTATTAAACCGAAACACCTCTTTATGCTTTGACAAGCTTATATTATGGAATTCTCAGAGATCTAGAGAAATTCCTCCAATGGAACAGAAAGTGGTCGGAGGTCCTTCCTCTTTGTCTAAGCCTTTCCTATCAACCACCATAACTCTCTTAAATGTGTATTTTCCTTATGTTTTAAATTCTCCATTCCCACCACTTGTTGTTGTTGTCAGGCGCCATCGAGTCAGAACCAACTCATAGCGACCCCATGCACAGCAGAACGAAACAATGTCCGATCCTGGGCCAACCTCACTACCGCTGCCACACTTGACGCCATCAATGATGCCACCTGGCCAATCCATCTCGTTAGGGGTCTTCCTCTTTTTCTCTGACCCTCCACCTTACCCAGCATGACATCCTTCTCCAGCGACTGTTTCCTCTGGACAATATGTCCAATGTATGAGAGACGAAGCTTAGCCATCCTGGCCTCCAAGGAGAACTCTGGCTGCACTTCTTCCAAAATAGATCTATTGGTTCTTTTGGCAGTCCATGGCACTTTCAGTATTCTCCTCCAACACCACAACTCAAAGGCATCAATTCTTCTACGATCTTCCTTATTCACTGTCCAGCTTTCACATCCATATGAGGCTATTGAAAACACCATGGCCTGGTTCCCACCAGTTAGCCTCATCTAAATTCCACCCTGTGGCAAGGCCTCACAAAGGCCTTTAAATGACCTTTAAAATAGGGACAAATTTAAGGGCCCTAATACAAGGCACAGAGTCCTAGTGTGGCGCTGTGGGTTAATGCGCCAGACTGAAAAAGCCATTTGAACTGCAAGGTCGATGGTTCAAACTCACCAGCTGTTCCTTGGAAACCCTATACAGGGTCACTATGGGTCGGAATTGACTCGATGGCACTTCACAACAACAACAAATATAAGGCACACACACTACCAAATGTGAAAATTATACAAACAAAACACAAAATAGTTGATTGAAACATACTAAAAATTAGAAACTTATGTGCATCAAAGGATTTCACCAAAAGAGTAAAAAGAGAGCCCACAGAAAGGGAAAAAATCTTTTGTAATGACCTATCAGACAAGGGACTAATTTCTAAAATCTATAGAAAACTACAACACCTCTACAAGAAAAGGACAAATAACCCAATTGAAAAACGGGCACAGGACATGAACAGACACTTCACCAAGGAAAGCATTCAGGCAGCCAACAAACATATAAAGAAATGTTCATGATCATTAGCCATTGTTGTTGTTGTTGAGTCCCACTGAGTCGATTCAGATCCATAGCGACCCTGTATAGGGTTTCCAAGGAGCAGCTTGTGAGCTTGAACCCTGACCTTGCAGTTTAAACAGCTTTGCATTCTTGCACATTAACCGACAGTGCCACACCAGGACTCCATTGTTGTTGTTGTTAAGTGCCATCAAGTCAGTTCCAACCCATAGCGACCCTGTATTGGGTTTCCAAGGAGCAGTTGGTGAGTTTGAACCACCGACCTTGCAGTTCAAACGGCTTTGCAGTCTGCTGCATTAACCCACAGCGCCACACCAGGACTCCAGGACTCCAGAACTCCATTAGAGAGATGCAAATCAAAACAACAATGAGATATCATCTCATACCAGCAGTAACAGTGAAGTTAAAAAACACAAAAACAGGACAATATATGATGGCGAGGATGTGGAGAGACTGGTACCCTCCCTACATTGCTGGTGGGAACGCAAAACGGTCCAACCACTCTGGAAAACAATATGGCATGTTCTCAGAAAGTTGGAGATAGAAATACCATATGGCACTTCCTTAGAAAGTTGGAGACAGAAATACTGTTGGAAATAGAATTACCATATGATCTAGCAATTATACCCACAAGAAATACAAGCCATAACACGAGTAGATATATGCACACCAATGTTCATAGTAGCACTATTCATAATAGCAAAAAGATGGAGACAGTCTAAGTGCTCATCAGTAGAAGAATGGATTTGGTACATACACACAATGGATATTATGCTATCTTGACAAATAACAAGGAAGTTGCAAGCCACCATACAACATGAATGAACCTTGAAGACATTATGATGAGTGAAATTAGTTAGTCACAAAAGGTCAAATCCTGCATAAGACCATTATTGTAAAAGCTTAAGAAAAGATACTGAGTAAAAGGGAGTGGGGAGGAAGGGGATGGGGATGGTAGAGTACAGGATAGGGAATAGACACATAATAGTTTGGGTGTTGGGAAAAGCAATACACAAGAAGGGGGAGAGGAATGAAGAACAAGTAGATAGGGGAACACAGAGGCAGGTTTGCATGGGGTAAATGGGACAGAGGTTAATAGTAATATATGCTTAACCTTGGAAAAACAGGGCTCTGTGATACAGGGGTAGAGGCATAGACAGAATGGGTTAAAGTGGGGAAACAATGCTTGACTGTCTAATAAATATTGGTTTCCCTTGCCTACTAATGTAAAATGGACACTTGAGTGGGAAAGAAAGGAGTATTGGGAAACATAATTATAGAGAGCTTGTAAGCCCATCTTCAGCCTGTAACTGATTGGAATACCTAAAAGGGGTTCTAGAACTTGCCCAGTGAAATAGCCTTCTTGCAGAACTTTTGTAGTCTATAGGACCTTAGGTGGAATCCTGAGCCTCATCTAGAGCCTTCTGAGGTGGGACATTCCCACTTGAAAGGACAAGCAGACCAGTCTGGAATAGCTAGAGAAGTCGGAGATATTTCTTGAAAGAAAGGCCAGCAGGAAAAATTCAAAACAAAAATGGCAGTGATTGGCTTACAAGTTTTCAAGACTGAGTTTAGTTTAAGAGTGTGTGGGCAAGCTAGAATCACCACTGAATAGTTTTCCTTTTGTCTAGACGGGTTTGGTAAAAGGAGGTGGGGATACGATTCTTATGATTCAACAGTAATTGTTATCATCACTAATGTGACTGTCACAACTGTAAAGGTAGAAGTTTTGTAACAAAAAGAGGGGAGTAGTTAATCTTATGTTTCAGAAACAGAGAACCCTAGGACCATCAAGGGAGAAGAGCATGAGTGGAATGTGAGACCATATCCAGAGAAGCAGTGACACCAGAGATGGAGACAGAGATGAGGGCATGGAAACAGAGCAGCTGAGGACTCTAGACTTGTGGAAAGAGAAAGGTTGTGTGCTGACAGCCATGTGCTGGTAGCCAGGAGGCAGGCTTGCAGAATGTGTCCTTTGGTAGTTTAAATGATTATATATTCCTGAGTGTTTTTGTGTACATCCCCCCACCAAAAAAAACAACAGCAAAAACAAAAAACAGAGGTAATAGAAGCAGATACTGTTGAATAATGATGCACAGAGATTGTAATCATTGCAATGAAATGATGAATGTTTACATGAGGAAACATTAGTTTCCCCATGTAAACTATCACTCATTTCATAATAAAAACTTAAAAATATCAGTTGTTTTTAAATAAAATCTGCAAGAAAAAGAACACCAGGTCCTTTTTATGACAAGTCACATAGTGTCTATACTTTGCTAAGATACCCCATAATAATGAGTCCTGGTATGGCACTATAGGATAAGCACTAGACTATAAGGTCAGTTTGAACCACAGGGCAGTGGTTCAAACCCACCAGTTGCTCCTCGGAACCTGTATACAGGATCTCTATGAATCAGACCTGACTTAAAGGTACTTAACAACAAGAGCCCATAGTAAAGGACCAAAACAACTTGGGAAACTAGGCACCCAGAAGAGAGATTAATATTAAAATGGTGTCCAAGGTTTAGATTCTCTCAGCTTTCATCTGCACTATCTTGCACATTTCTGCAACTTGTATGTTTGGGGAGATGCTAAATCAACCATGCCAGGGAGCAGGACCTCCAAGGTCTAATGCATCTCCAGTGACTGAGCACCCCTTCTTTAGGCAGGAAAGCTCATCAACACTGTGTTGTCCCAACTGAAGATGGATTATCTCATGAGCTTAAGCGGAGACTAAAAGAGTTCATTACTTGCTGACAATAAGTTATACACCTATAAAAAGGTGTACAGGTTAAAGTTGTGGATAGATGTGTTTACAACAACAAAAAAAGAAAGAATCGCCATTGAGGCTGATTATGTACAGCCCAAAACCTCCTGGGATTTGGTTGCTTGGTTTGGAGGTCTTAGTTTCATGGAAAATTCCAGTTCATTAGCTTAGTAATATGTTTAATACTCACGCTGTACTCCCTAGCTCAATGTGTAATGCTTAGGGTCTTAAAAACTTGCAAGTGGCCATCCAAGATACAGCAATTGTTCTTTATTCACCAAGAACAACAGAAAAGGGAGAGGATATGAAACCCATGGCTAATTGTCTCCATGAACAACTTCCTCTTTTGCCATGAGACCAGAAGAACTAAATAGTACACCTTGAGGCTTTATGCTCCTGTAAAGATTTACAGCCTCAGAAACCCTGTACAGGGTCCCTATGAGTCGGAACCCACTGCATGCCACATGACAACAACAGCAACCATGAATGAATAGTTTGATCAAACATTCTATGCAGATATCCTGATCAAAATGTGGGACAGCAGAACAGAACTTTAAATTCTCATTCAGTCCAGACTTCCTGGAGCCATGAAGGTTGGATAAACCCCTAGAACGAAGACCCTGAGGTAATCTTTATCAACATAAAAAACTATTCCCTTAAATCTTCTTAAAGCCAAACAAT